GTCAAATCTAACAAAAGAGCAACAATATATAAGTGCAAATGACAAGTCTCGGTTAGCCTAACCCAGTGCACGTAGCAAGGTGTGTGTGTGTGTGTGTGTGTATATATATATATACACACACACACACACAAAAAAAACAAGTAGATAGAATAGAAATATAGAAAGCTAGTGTTTCTTTGTTTTGTTTTTTAAATAATAAAAGAGAAGATAAATATAGATAAAGTAGAATTAAAATAGAATAGAAAGTGCTAGAGTTAGAGGGTCAAATAAAGGTGGAACAGATGTGTTTTTGGTCGTTTCTTGAAGAAGCATTTATTTGTAACATTATAAATGTCTTTACTGTCACTTTTGATCAATTAAATGCATCCTTGCTGAAAAATCCTTGCTGAAAAAATTAACCTTACTGACCCCAACTTTTTAAATTGTAGTCTATTTTTGAGCATTTCTGGTTTTTGCTTATTCAGACAGTTGTTTTCTTTTAAAATTGTAGATTGTTGTTTTGGTACAGTGATTACGTGTGGCATGAGTGATGCATTACATGTTGACATTACAAATGTGAAATTAATCATATTCATTTACTGGCTGCTAAACTTATCTACATTAAAGGTCCTAACCCCTGTCTCAAGTGGGCAGCCAAAACGGCTTGCACTTTACACCTGGTATTAATGTGTGTCTCCAATCCATCCACAGTGACCGTGTAATATTTTGTTGATGGGAGGGTGTCTTATTTCAGGACTGCATGCATTTTCAGGGTGTGTGAAGTCATGTGCTTGTATACACTAGCATTCAAAAGTTTGGGGTGGGTAAGATTTTTTCAATCTCTATTCAGAAGTCTCTTATGCTCACCACCATTAAAAAGGCTTTTAAAACTCTAATATTGTAAAGTATTATTACAATTTAAAATACCTTTTATATTTTAATATCTTTTAATTGTTTAATGTTACTTATTCCTGTGATAAAAAAGCTGAATTTTCAGCAACATTACTCCAGTCTCAGTGTCACACGATCTTTCAGAAATCGTTCTAATACTGATTTGCTGCTCAAGAAACATTATCAATGTTGAAAACAGTTGTGCTGCTTCACTTTTTTTTTTTTTTTTCCCGGGAAAAGATCAACATTTATATTTAGTCATTTAGCAGACGCTTTTATCCAAAGCGACTTACAAATGAGGACAGTCAAAACTAACAAAAGAGCAACAATATATAAGTGCAAATAACAAGTCTCGGTTAGCCTAACGTAGTACATGTAGCAAGGTGTGTGTGTGTGTATATATATATATATATATATATTTATTACACACACACACACAAAAAAAACAAGTAGATAGAATAGAAATATAGAAAGCTAGTGTTTCTTTGTTTTGTTTTTTAAATAATAAAAGAGAAGATAAATATAGATAAAGTAGAATTAAAATAGAATAGAAAGTGCTAGAGTTAGAGGGTCAAATAAAGGTGGAACAGATGTGTTTTTGGTCGTTTCTTGAAGAAGCATTTATTTGTAACATTATAAATGTCTTTACTGTCACTTTTGATCAATTAAATGCATCCTTGCTGAAAAATCCTTGCTGAAAAAATTAACCTTACTGACCCCAACTTTTTAAATTGTAGTCTATTTTTGAGCATTTCTGGTTTTTGCTTATTCAGACAGTTGTTTTCTTTTAAAATTGTAGATTGTTGTTTTGGTACAGTGATTACGTGTGGCATGAGTGATGCAATGTCTTTACTGTCACTTTTGATCAATTAAATGCATCCTTGCTGAAAAATCCTTGCTGAAAAAATTAACCTTACTGACCCCAACTTTTTAAATTGTAGTCTATTTTTGAGCATTTCTGGTTTTTGCTTATTCAGACAGTTGTTTTCTTTTAAAATTGTAGATTGTTGTTTTGGTACAGTGATTACGTGTGGCATGAGTGATGCATTACATGTTGACATTACAAATGTGAAATTAATCATATTCATCCCTGATGACATCTGAACAATACATTTTGTAACCGGTTTACATCTGTATTTGTGATCGCATTGCAAAAAACGGATGTGAGTACCAGGTGCAACCTTAACATGTTTGAAGCTCTGATGTTGACTTCTGTTGCATGTCTCAGGGCTTTAAGGACAATCTTCATGCGGTTTTCTGCCTAGCTGAGAACTCAGTGGGACCTACAGCCACTCGACCAGATGATATACACACTCTGTACTCCGGAAAGTAAGTTTTGGCTCGCCAATGAAAACATCTTCCATGTGTCCTAACCAGCAATGCAGTTTGCCTGTAACTAAGGTGTGCTTCCATGATTTCTCAGAACAGTGGAGATAAACAACACCGATGCTGAAGGGAGGCTGGTGCTCTCTGATGGTGTTGTATATGCAAGCAAAGATCTTTCTGCAGACATCATACTGGACATGGCAACACTGACCGGCGCTCAGGTGCATTGGTGTTGACAGACATAGTAGTGTGTTAGGATCTTCTGAATGCACTTGCTTGCTTTTCTTAATTCTTTATTCAATTTCGGTGCAGTCATTCTATCTTCTTTGAGACATCTGAGTACAAGTCTTTACAGGTTTTAACTGAGAACAAGATCTTGTATATTGATATGAAGAGTGTCACAAGATATCAGGGAGAATTGGAGGATTTCCAGAACACAAACCACTTCTCTGTTTATCAGCTAACACGTATCGTTGTTTTAAACTGCTTTATGGCTGTTGCACTTTGGATTTTGGACAAAACCGGTTAGATCTTGACTTACAGTATATCTTGTGTGTTCATAATCATGTGATGGAAGCTCTTTTTTTTTTTAAGAGTGGCCACTGAATCACTTCTTTGTTTTTCGTCATGCATTTTAGTCACTGATGCTGACCAAAAAAATCCCTTTGATCAGACAGCAACATGTAAGGAAAAAAAACAACTTTTATTCAGCAAGGATGGATTAAATAGAGCAAAAGTGACTAAAGACATTTATAATGTTACAAAATATTTATATTTCAAATAAATGCTAATTAAATAAATTTGAACTTTTGGGGGAAAAAAAAAAGTATGTTTTTAACATGGATGATGTTTTTTGACAAATCAGCATATTAGAATGATTTCTGAAGGATCATGTGACACTGAAGACTGGAGTAATGATGCTGAAAATTCAGCTTTGTCATCACATGAATTAATTAGATTAAAAAAAAAGTTTAATCATAATAATTTTTAATAATATCACTGTTTCTAAATCCAGTTCCCAATCAGTAAAATCACCACCTCAGATAACCTTTCTGAGTTAAGCTGACATTATACACCGTTACGAATTTAAATAAAAGTGCAACGTTGTCTCAATGTTTCGTAATGTACATATGAATCTCTTTCACAGTTTGCCGTTTAGAAGTTGCCATAGGAAATGTTGCAGGAACAGCAAGGGGCTTGAAATAACTATCAGCAAATACTGTACTAACATCTTCAACATTTTTCCTTTTTCAATCAGAAAGTGTTTAAAATGCAATCATTTGGTTTTCATTCCAAACGTAAATGACATGATCACAATGTTCGTGTAAGTGATGTTTCTGCCACTAAATGTGTGCTGCTGACGATAATTCACTTTTGATGCCAATTTTGTAAGTGTGAAGAATATGGAATGTGATTGACAAATCTTTTCAGAGTAAATGGGTAAAAAAAAAAGCTTGTTCAAATTCATTTTCTCTGCTGTATGTCTGCAATTACTCAAATTACGATTACCATAAAATCTACAGATTGTGACATCAATTTTAATGCAAAGGGAAATATCAAAATTTGACAATTTCTCACCACCAATTATCTTACATAAACTAAAATTAATATTAAAACCACTTCTGTGATATGTAATGATAACAGCAGCTGACCTTTGTGTAATAATTAATTAGAAATTATTTGAAAATAATATATTTAATCCATTTATTTTTTTCCCAAAATCATGTACGATTTCATCTAAAAATATTAAATTAACATTAAAACTTGCAGCAAAATTACACTGGATTTTATCTTATTAGTCTTTGTGTATTTTATATATAATTTCGCATTGACATTTTAATGACAATTATAGTTAGATGTGTGTGTTTATACGTATGCATTGCTATTTTAAATTAAAAAATGGTATTTAAAGTATTTCCACATCCCGGTAGTCTGTTAGACTGTCTTTATGCTGATTTTATCTAAAGTCTATCAATAATACAGTAATGGGAAGTTATATGATCAGTCAGTCAGTCGATTTTCTTTTTCTGAGTTGTGAACTGAATAGAAAGCCATGATCTGGGGGTGAATAAAACACTGTAGATTCTTCCACAGGTTCCACTTTAATAGGAAGCTCATCTTCAGCCTTCTGAGGAGCTTCTTGTGAGTGTAGAAGACGTTCATTCTTCTGCTGGACTCCATAGACGGCTGTAAAACCACGTCATCTAGTGTAACTAGGCTCCTGTACAAAGGATATCATGGTTTAGACACATTTACAATCAAACTGACAACAGAAATGAACAGGATGGGTTTTTAAATAATTCTACTGTATATGTGATTTAAAATGTTGCTCAATAAACCATTTTAGAAACTTAGAAAAATAAGATGGCTTTATTTTTGTGAGAGAAGACTTACTGGGTCTTTTCGGCGCTGTGGAAGTGCATGTGATCTTCTGGTCTGAAGACCACAACTTTGCTATATTCACCTTCATGTTGAAGAACGGCATCAAAATATCTCTCTTTTATGGGGCTCACGTCGCAAAGGAACCCCTTAACCTGATTCCTTAATTTTTTAGCTGGACTTTGTTCTGCCATGTCTGATCACATGGGTTGCAGCTGTTAACTTGCTTTTAAAGTTAAATAGGAGCAGTTGACATATTAACATACAGCAAACAATATCTTAGCTGACCAGACATCTTCATATGATGTTCAAATTGTTATATCAAGCAAAACTACCGGAAATACTTTTTTTTGTTTCTAAGTTGCAGTTCTTACCAATGACTATAAACTGTTCCCTTATTTAAGAGGTACATCAGGTTCATTATCACTGTGTCAAAGAACCACAAACACACTGATAACAACTGACTCAAGAACACCTCTGTGTTTAGAAAAATATCTTTCAAATTTAGCTAATGAAAACATGAACATCTAAACAATAAAGTGCACAGTGTCATGCACAGTGAGCTACCATTATCACCTTTTCATCTATTATTATCACTTTATCACTATTAGACTTTTTATCACTTCTCAGATCAATGCATTCGTTTCACTGAAAACCACAGTGCTTCAACAGGTGAAACAGATGTCAATACAAGTACGATTGACTATGCTATATATAAAATTACATAAAAGAATAGCAGAGAATATGCTTACCTGTGCTCACGTCTCCTATGCTGTAAAAATTAAGACTGAACTTTGAAATGCAAACATGTATTATATAACTTTATGATCTGTAAATATTATTGAAAGCAGAAGTACACAGCCCTACTGATTCTTTATTGTACTTTTTAATTCAATATTTTTTAACCACTATTGTTAACTAAAAATAAAAACTGTTTTTCATTCATTTAAAGGGGTCATATGATGCTGCTAAAAAGAACATTATTTGGTGTAATGAAATGCGGTTTAAAGTAAAAAAAAAAAAAAACATTATTTTTCACATACTGTACATTGTTTGAATGTACTTTCTGAAACGCGTCGATTTTTACAAAGCTCATCGTTCTGAAAAGCGAGGTGTGCTCTGATTGGCCAGCTATCCAGTGCGTTGTGATTGGCCGAATACCTCAAGCGTGTGACGGAAATGTTACGTCACTTACCATACTGTGATGCCCTGTCCCGGCGCGACGAGACAAAACCAATAAAACCCATTACAAACGAGGCATTTGTTGCTGAATATAATGACTTATACTGTCTTTTTACGCGTTGCTTTGCATCGCGCCGCGTAAACATAAAACCATGTCTGCATTTGTGATCGGAGAAATTACAAACTACAAGCGTTACTCTACACTGCCCAAAACTCACGTTTGAATCATCGGTGGCAAATCCTTTAAATATGAAAACGTACTTACAGGCTGTGAGTCAGCATTATTTGTCAGGATACCGGCATTGTAGGCTACTCGCCCAGAAAACAATCCTCGTCCTCCATAAAATGCGCTGCACACATCTGAATATTTGGGTTGAACTGTTCTGGAACAGTGTTGTAAATACAACTTAACCACTGATTTCTAATTGTGTACTCTTTTGGAAGGCCAAGCAAAGTAGTTTCGCTTTCACAACGAAACAGTGTCTCCACGACATGGCGGCGGCAACAATACTACAGCGAGAATCAAAGTTACGCCTTCTTTCTTTGCGTGAACATTTGGGCGGCATTATGCAAATCTTCCCACATAGTGACATAGACATGTGGGGGCGTGTTTAAACGAGGTGTTTTAGGATGGCGTGGACGAGTCTAAACTTTTATAAAGAATATCTCTTTGGGTTTGATACTTTAGTCTTTGCAACTTCAGGGATCTTATCTATTCACGAACAGCTTGTAACTCTCCAAAGAGAAAGGAAAACTTGAAATCACATCATACGACCCCTTTAAATAAAGCAGAAATAAAATGAAATATAAATATCACATTAAAACATAAATACTTCAATTAAAATGAGAAATGGTGCCTTGGCTACTAACTAAAATAAGTTTAAGTATTAAAATTACTAAAAATAAAAATTAAAGCTAATAATTAAAGCAAAAACTAATAAAAAAAAATGTTACAATTCAAAATATGAACAAATACTATAATGTAGTAAATACATAATACTAAAATAACACTGAAATAAGTTTAAGTATTAAAATTACTAAAAATAAAAATTAAAGCTAATAATTAAAGCAAAAACTAATAAAAAAAATGTTACAATTCAAAATATGAACAAATACTATAATGTAGTAAATACATAATACTAAAATAACACTGGTTTGGGCAAACACAAGCCAACATTTTAGACCCAATATTTTTTTTTTCATATTACGTGCCTCATTATGCCTTACAAAAAATGATTGATACTAGAGCATTTATTGAGACTAATCATTTCCACAAACACACACACAAACAGAGAGAGAGAGAGAGAGAGACTCAAGTTGGCTACAAAAAAACAAATACTGTACATTTCTATAAGTATTACCCAAAAAAGATCCAGTTAATTTTATTGCACACTGACCTTTTGTGACAAAACGCCCTATGCTGTCACACCCTATAGGGTAAGTTGTCACAATGGGGAATTAATGTTTACTCAGAGCTGTTTACTGACACTGAAGTAGATTTTGAAAACGAGCATTTATCCATAAGTTTGTGACCCCTTCCGTGTGTGACAACTAGCCCCGGTCTCGCCAATAATGTACTGTCAGTTATTTCGAGGCCAGAAAGCGTCTGACATGACAAACATAACCTATTTTTCTTAGAAGGTGTCCAATAAGGGTTAGTTTCGATGTTTTCTCCACGCCTCCACGCAGACACGAAGAATAAAACCGCAGTGCAGACTCGCGTGAGGATCATATGACCGCCTGAGATTCAACATGGCTCGCGTGTTTCTCTTGTGTCTGTTCGCTCTGTCGGGGGTTTTCGCCGGACAGTATTTTAACGAGAATGAGCCCTGCTACAGACCCCAGCCGAGGAGAAACCTACAAGGAGTTAAGTATGTAACTATCACTTGTTCTAAAACGACACCAGTTTTGGGTATCAGATGTTTGTTCCCAAGTCAGACTGTTGAGGCTAAAAATACTGTCTTAAGTAGCCACGTCTGGTTTGAACTATTTCTTCTTACTCTCTTAAAAACTGCCCTAAAAGAGAACAAATGAAATGAGTTCTGTTCTGGACATGTTAATGTCATGCTGAGAAATATGCAAAGAAGTGTTAGAAGTTATTTCCTGTACTGTTCTGCACGCTGATATATTTCCTGTTATTCTCGGCTTATTTATAGTTCGTTATCTGTTAGATATTAACTAAGCTGTGCTTTGGTACATTCTAATGATATTATATACTTTAGTTAATTTTTTTTTTATCCTGGCTCATATGTGTGGAATAACACTATAGTTTGACTATTTTTGTTGTATAAAATGTGTGAGTTTTCTGTTTTGAACTGATTTGCCAAAATGCATTCAGCACAGCATACTGTATCCCACAATGCAGTGCACTCAAATTGACTTTCCAGTGAAGTGCATGAGATATTTCCCCCCATTATTTGGTCTCATTTTAATTTTTTGGCTCCATTGTTGCCCAGTGTATTGCAGGCGACTCACGTCATGGCAATTCGGCACATGAAATTATTAAGAGAAAAACCCAGCAGAGTGGTGAAAAGGTAGCCATCATGAGGCCGTTTGACACCTGCTTCATTTATTATTATATATATATGCCATGCCCCCAAGATTCATTTCTCATTTTTGGTTGTTAACTGAAGAACAGATGGCCTGTGCATGGGTTATTTGCTGGAGTTTCCTTCATGGCCTCTTGCTGCTTGCTTTGAATGCCTTTTCAGTGTTTTTGTGATCAGTGAAGAGAGCTGGATTTGTGGCTTAATGGCATATGAAGATGGTTAAACAACTTGAAATTTCTTGTATTCTTCAGGACTGGACCACGTCCTTATGAATATATGAATTTAAAGGAGCTCCCCAAAGCATGGGACTGGAGAAACATTGATGGCGTCAACTACGTCAGCACCACACGCAACCAACACATTCCACAATACTGCGGCTCCTGCTGGGCGCATGGAAGTACTAGTGCTATGGCAGGTGAGGGAAAATGTTAAAAGATATATTTTTTGTGAATCACAAAAAGAAATCGTGAGCAAAATGTCCTGGCTGGTTTTCCCCCCAAAAATGCAGGTAAATATATTTGTGTCCTGTGAGGGAAATCATGGGATTCACATGAGGATGAGTAATTGAAGACGCTTTTTTGTGAAACATACATTTTCACGAGGAGCCACAGAACAGCCCTGTTGTAGCCTCTTACTTCTAACCTGGTTGTTTAATCATTAAAAATGCAATGGCCTGGATCTGTCATGTGCAATTATGATGTTTATGCCATTTGACATTGATGTACCACCTGACTATCATCTTGATGTTAGATTCATATTCAATTTATAGTAAAAAAATAAAATATTTTTTTTATATATATATAATTTTTGACTATCTATTTTTACAATAATCTTGCAAAATAAAGCACAATAAAAAAAACACTTATATAATTTTTTATTTGACCACTTGACCTTGATAATCAATATTTTCTGAAGGTGATGCACCTCTTTTTTTTACTAACGCTTACATTTTTATATATATATATTTATATTTATTATTATTATTTGGTAACACTTTACAATAAGGTTCTATTAGTTAATGCTAGTTAATGTATTAACTAACATGAACAAACAATGAACAATGCATTTATTACAGTATTTATTAATCTTCGTTAATGTTAGTTAATGAAAATACGGTCGTTCATTGTTAGTTCATGTTAATTCAGTGCATTAACTAATGTTAACAAGCACAACTTTTGATTTTAATAATGCATTAGTAAATGTTAAAATTAACATTAGCTAAGATTAATAAATGCTGTAGAAGTATTGTACATGCATAGTTCATGTTAACTAAAGTAGTTAACTAATGAACCTTATTGTAAAGTTTTGATGACATCCTTGCAAAGTAAACTGCAATAAATAAAATGAATTAAAAATAAAATCACTCAGAATTTTTGATTTGACCACTTGACCTTAATAATCAGTATTTTTTTAAAGGGGAAGCAAGTTTTTTTTTTTTACTGCCACTTTGGTGTAAAAGAAAAAATAAATACTAAAATTCCTCTTTTCTTGTCAGTCGTTTGTAACTTGATTGCTCTCTTTTTTTCTTTTAGATCGGATCAACATCAAGCGGAAAGCAGCATGGCCATCTGCCTATCTCTCTGTCCAGAACGTGATTGACTGTGGCAACGCGGGTTCCTGCAATGGTGGAGATCATTCTGGTGTTTGGGAATATGCACACAGTAACGGCATTCCTGATGAAACCTGCAACAACTATCAAGCCAAAAATCAGGGTGAGAAAGTTGTTTGGTGTCGTATCTGGTAGTTTGCTTGCATGGACATTTGTTTTGCATTAGTTTGTATTTCTGTTTTTTTTTCAGACTGTAACTCCTTTAATCAGTGTGGAACTTGCACAACCTTTGGCGTGTGTAATGTAGTAAAGAACTTCACTCTCTGGAAAGTCGGAGACTATGGCTCAGCCAGCGGGCTGGACAAGATGAAAGCTGAGATCTATTCTGGAGGACCCATCAGGTATACAAACTGCTTGGTTATGGATTTGTAATATAATCTCCTTATAATTGAAGATTTTGACACAGACACTTTTGCCTTTGTAGTTGTGGAATCATGGCAACAGATAAGCTGGATGCGTACACAGGTGGTGTGTACTCGGAGTACGTACAGGACCCCTATATAAACCACATTGTATCTGTAGCCGGCTGGGGCGTTGATGAAAATGGAGTGGAATACTGGGTCATCCGTAATTCTTGGGGAGAGCCATGGGTAAGCAGAACCTGAAAATTAGCCCTTCAAACAAATGAAGATGTTGAACGTGTGTTCTGGTCTTTTATTCTTTAGGGAGAGAAAGGCTGGCTCAGAATAGTCACCAGCGCGTACAAGGGCGGCAGTGGGAGCCAGTACAACCTCGCCATCGAAGAGGACTGCATGTATGGAGACCCCATCCTACCCAAAAACTACCTGTAGTTGGCTGTGGCATGTTCTTCACATGCAAACGCAGTCTTAGATTTGCCAAAAATGATGATTTTTTTTATGCTGCCTAAGATCAGTTGCAGAAGTTTGGTTTTAATCGTTTTTAATCTCAGGAAAGTTTCATCAGAAATTGTACAGAATTGTTTCTGTAATTCTGCATTCATAGGCCTTCTTTTTTTAATGGTTTTCTACACTACTTAATGAACAAAAAGGGAAAAGTAGTTCACCCTTTTTTTTATTTTTTTTATACCAGGACATTTAATATTTTAGGATGTTTTAAATGGACCGACCTCGGGCCAAATGGTCATCTAATGATCTTGTTTTGCTGAAAAGGTTTTGGGATTTGCTATGTTGTATTAAAAGCAAACATCTCTTTCTGATGGGGATTTTGCTTTTAATGCATCTGTCAAACTATGTCAACATGTGAAGCCATGGATCAGTTTAATAAATGCACTGTTTCAATGAACAATACATTTATTACAGTATTTATTAATCTTTGTTAATGTTAGTTAATGAAAATACAGTCGTTCATTGTTAGTTCATGTTAATTCACAGTGCATTAACTAATGTTAACAAGCACAACTTTTGATTTTAATAATGCATTAGTAAATGTTAAAATTAACATTAGCTAAGATTAATAAATGCTGTAGAAGTATTGTACATGCATAGTTCATGTTAACTAAAGTAGTTAACTAATGAACCTTATTGTAAAGTTTTGATGACATCCTTGCAAAGTAAACTGCAATAAATAAAATGAATTAAAAATAAAATCACTCAGAATTTTTGATTTGACCACTTGACCTTAATAATCAGTATTTTTTTAAAGGGGAAGCAAGTTTTTTTTTTTTTTACTACCACTTTGGTGTAAAAGAAAAAATAAATACTAAAATTCCTCTTTTCTTGTCAGTCGTTTGTAACTTGATTGCTCTCTTTTTTTCTTTTAGATCGGATCAACATCAAGCGGAAAGCAGCATGGCCATCTGCCTATCTCTCTGTCCAGAACGTGATTGACTGTGGCAACGCGGGTTCCTGCAATGGTGGAGATCATTCTGGTGTTTGGGAATATGCACACAGTAACGGCATTCCTGATGAAACCTGCAACAACTATCAAGCCAAAAATCAGGGTGAGAAAGTTGTTTGGTGTCGTATCTGGTAGTTTGCTTGCATGGACATTTGTTTTGCATTAGTTTGTATTTCTGTTTTTTTTTCAGACTGTAACTCCTTTAATCAGTGTGGAACTTGCACAACCTTTGGCGTGTGTAATGTAGTAAAGAACTTCACTCTCTGGAAAGTCGGAGACTATGGCTCAGCCAGCGGGCTGGACAAGATGAAAGCTGAGATCTATTCTGGAGGACCCATCAGGTATACAAACTGCTTGGTTATGGATTTGTAATATAATCTCCTTATAATTGAAGATTTTGACACAGACACTTTTGCCTTTGTAGTTGTGGAATCATGGCAACAGATAAGCTGGATGCGTACACAGGTGGTGTGTACTCGGAGTACGTACAGGACCCCTATATAAACCACATTGTATCTGTAGCCGGCTGGGGCGTTGATGAAAATGGAGTGGAATACTGGGTCATCCGTAATTCTTGGGGAGAGCCATGGGTAAGCAGAACCTGAAAATTAGCCCTTCAAACAAATGAAGATGTTGAACGTGTGTTCTGGTCTTTTATTCTTTAGGGAGAGAAAGGCTGGCTCAGAATAGTCACCAGCGCGTACAAGGGCGGCAGTGGGAGCCAGTACAACCTCGCCATCGAAGAGGACTGCATGTATGGAGACCCCATCCTACCCAAAAACTACCTGTAGTTGGCTGTGGCATGTTCTTCACATGCAAACGCAGTCTTAGATTTGCCAAAAATGATGATTTTTTTTATGCTGCCTAAGATCAGTTGCAGAAGTTTGGTTTTAATCGTTTTTAATCTCAGGAAAGTTTCATCAGAAATTGTACAGAATTGTTTCTGTAATTCTGCATTCATAGGCCTTCTTTTTTTAATGGTTTTCTACACTACTTAATGAACAAAAAGGGAAAAGTAGTTCACCCTTTTTTTTATTTTTTTTATACCAGGACATTTAATATTTTAGGATGTTTTAAATGGACCGACCTCGGGCCAAATGGTCATCTAATGATCTTGTTTTGCTGAAAAGGTTTTGGGATTTGCTATGTTGTATTAAAAGCAAACATCTCTTTCTGATGGGGATTTTGCTTTTAATGCATCTGTCAAACTATGTCAACATGTGAAGCCATGGATCAGTTTAATAAATGCACTGTTTTCAATCACACTCATCAATAAAAGTCTTATCAAGTTCTTCTACTTGTCATTTTTTTAATGGGCATTTTTGCTAAATTGCTTTAGTTTAAACAACAATGCCTCAGAGTTTATTACCAACATCTAAACTGTCTTTGTTTTCAGTTATAGCATGCAAGGACCACACCTATACTTTTAACAAATGCTTTGCTTTAGTTTAGTTTGGAACTGTTTTGAAGAAGCATATACAGCAGTAAAGCTGCCTCTCAATTAAATTGCCATCTACATTTACTAAAGACTAAAACCTCCAAAGAAACATGTTAACAGTATACCTGACCGTGACATATATTGTGACCTTTGAAATGATGACAGATTTAGTACAATCATGTTTAATAAAAATTACAATATACAAGAAAAACCAACGTCACAAATTGTTTCTAAGCAAAATAGAAGCTCTACAAGTTATGACCTCAAAAACACACTTTCAAAGTTTACCATTCAAGTCAGTATTTTCTTTGAAAAGGTCAACCCAACAGTTATGTACACTGAAATTAGGTCTATGAAAGGTGCTCCGGTCCTACGAGTTGATCCTTTCACTTTTCAAACGTCCCTCTAATTTCGAAGTTTAGTTCATCATAATGAAGTTGGATTTGCAGTGAGCTTTAATGAAAAATTGGAGATTATTAAAGCACTACAATTATAAAACCACTACATAATTTGCATGAGTTGCATTTGTGTGCCTCGTCATAAGTCATGGTTCCTCTTTTTTAAAAAAAAAAACGACTCACCAATGAACTCAGCTACAGGGTCATGTTCTCCCTCAGTGCGGATTGTTCCTGCTATGCTGTCATTTTCTAGGATGGGCAAAAACAGCTGGACAAAGTCGGAGGTATATGGAGGGGTTATCACATCTAGAACCTGTCCAAAATTAAATAGAGACAAGAAAATCAACCACAGACTCAATAATGACAGAAGAAACTGCCACACAAATCAATCAGAGCTCAAAACAAAGACCTGAGACTCACCTCTGTAACAAAGTATCTGATAAGTGAAATATCGGTGTTGAGCTTCTCAAGACATTTGCGGATGTAGCTGACCACTGGAAGAACATAACCTCGACTCAATAGGTGAACCATACGGTCCAGTAAGGTCTTCTTGAGCTCCAGCTGAAAAACAAAAGATAAATATTAGTCAGAATTTAGTTATAAATGTGAGCACTGGAGACGCAAATAAAAATGACAAACCTGCTCCATGACATCAAGCTGCGAGTGCTCGGTCTCAAACAATTTTATGAGCAACTGTAACACCTGAGGATGGAGAAGCTGATGGCATGTGCTGATCTGAGAAATAAAGACAAATGTTTATTCTTCAGTATCTTCATAATAATGGTTAGGGAGGTGACCAGTTTGTACCCTGTTGGTATATTTAAATTAAAAAACAATGGTATGACATGGAGGTTATGTTTACCTCATCTAGCAGTGCTAGATGGACAGGAGTGTGGTCCGTCTGTAGCTGGAAGTAACGCGGCTCAGACACCGTCCAGTCGACCCACTTCAGCACTCCCATCGCTACCACTGGAAACCTGCAACACAAATACAAAAATATCAAATATATAATCTTATAAGACACTACTGTTCAGAAGGTAAAATGAATCCTGTTTTTCAGCGAGGATTTTCAAAAGTGACAATAGAGACATTTATAATGTTACAAAATATTTTTAAAAATGCTGTTCTTTTGAACTTTCTATTCATTAAAGTCTCCTTAAAAATACATATATAAATGTGTTTGTTCATACCTTATGCACTGGTATAACGTGCTGAGTTCTGCTACTAGCTCTGTAGCTCCCTTGTTCTCATTGCAGCAGAGATTATGAACCGTCTCAATGGCCTTTGAGGTCGACTTCAGCTCATCCTTATTTATATTCACACGCTTGTTCTAGAAACAAGTAATATTTTATGTAATCCTCCACAACATTTCTTGTAAAGATAATGTACCGAGAAATATGTATATACAGTATGTGTTAAGAGTGGTTTTAATACACACTTTTTTCCATGTTTCCACAACACTAGCAGCATACGCTAAGATGTGGATGTATTTATGCTTGTGGTCCTGGTTGATTTTAGCTCCGGGTTTAAATAGCGACTGCATGAACAGATCCAAAAAGGCAGGAACTCGGATCTACACGGAGAGAGGAGCAGTTCAGTTAACATCAGTTTAGTAAATACAGTTTTCTTTAGGTATTTGTTAAAGAAATAGTTCACCCAAAATTTTACATTTACGTTAGGCGATTCATGATGTAAATGAGTTTGTTTCAGATTTGGAGATATTTAGAAATTTAGTTAAAATGCCTTGATGGCTTTTCACTTCACAAGACATTAACTGATGGACTAGAATTGTGGGTTACTGTGATGTTTTTATCAACTGTTTGGACTCTCATTCTGACGGCACCCATTCACTGCAGAGGATTCATTGGTGAGCAAGAGATGTAATGCTACATTTCTCCCAACCTGTTCCAATTAAAGAAATAAACTCATCTATATCTTGGATGGCCTGAGGGCGAGTAAATCTTCAGCACATATTCATTTTTGGTTAACTATTTCTTAAAAGCTAGTAACAAATTGTTAGCAATATACTACATTTATGTGCAACTTAATACTTCTAACCCTTTGTATATTTATGTTTAAGTATTTCTTCTCTGCATCTCTCCTTTGCATCATTGGCTTGTTTCCTAATATAGCTGTCTAAAAAAATGTGCAATTCAATACTACAAATATTATTGGCACCGAACAATTTGTGAAAATGCTTTGGATTAAAATTGTTGGCTAAATGCATAAACGTAAATGTAGATTCTGACCAGCTCTACAGGAGGTGGATCCATGCTACTGAACATCTTGAACAAGACTGTGATGTCTGCTGGGTTCAGAGCCCCTTTGGACAGCATGGCACCAAGAGCCTGGCATGCGCGTGGATATGCAGCAGCTGTGCCCAGCGCTAATGTGATCTGACTGGCATCATGTCCTCTAAACATTGAAAACCAATCAATAACATGGTTATAATTAATAATCTGATCAATAAAGCAGATCAAACAACTGAGAGTGTTACACAAAGACCACTGGAAGAACATAACCTCGACTCAATAGGTGAACCATACGGTCCAGTAAGGTCTTCTTGAGCTCCAGCTGAAAAAAATCATTGTCAGAATTTAACCTGAGCACTGGAGGAGCAAATACAAATGCACTGATTCTGCCATTTTTGCAGTCTTACAAACCTGCTCCATGACATCAAGCTGCGAGTGCTCCGTCTCGAACAGTTTGATGAGCAACTGTAACACCTGCGGATGGAGAAGCTGATGGCATGTGCTGATCTGAGAAATAAAGACAAATTTTAATGCTTAAACTATGGTGAATCAGAATCTTCATAATAATGGTTTGGGTAGTGACCAGTTCGTACTCTGTTGGTATATTTAATTTACCTCATCCAGTAGTGCTAGATGGACAGGAGTGTGGTCCGTCTGTAGCTGGAAGTAACGCGGCTCAGACACCGTCCAGTCGACCCACTTCAGCACTCCCATCGCTACCACTGGAAACCTGCAACACAAATACAAAAATATCAAATATATAATCTTATAAGACACTACTGTTCAGAAGGTAAAATGAATCCTGTTTTTCAGCGAGGATTTTCAAAAGTGACAATAGAGACATTTATAATGTTACAAAATATTTTTAAAAATGCTGTTCTTTTGAACTTTCTATTCATTAAAGTCTCCTTAAAAATACATATATAAATGTGTTTGTTCATACCTTATGCACTGGTATAACGTGCTGAGTTCTGCTACTAGCTCTGTAGCTCCCTTGTTCTCATTGCAGCAGAGATTATGAACCGTCTCAATGGCCTTTGAGGTCGACTTCAGCTCATCCTTATTTATATTCACACGCTTGTTCTAGAAACAAGTAATATTTTATGTAATCCTCCACAACATTTCTTGTAAAGATAATGTACCGAGAAATATGTATATACAGTATGTGTTAAGAGTGGTTTTAATACACACTTTTTTCCATGTTTCCACAACACTAGCAGCATACGCTAAGATGTGGATGTATTTATGCTTGTGGTCCTGGTTGATTTTAGCTCCGGGTTTAAATAGCGACTGCATGAACAGATCCAAAAAGGCAGGAACTCGGATCTACACGGAGAGAGGAGCAGTTCAGTTAACATCAGTTTAGTAAATACAGTTTTCTTTAGGTATTTGTTAAAGAAATAGTTCACCCAAAATTTTACATTTACGTTAGGCGATTCATGATGTAAATGAGTTTGTTTCAGATTTGGAGATATTTAGAAATTTAGTTAAAATGCCTTGATGGCTTTTCACTTCACAAGACATTAACTGATGGACTAGAATTGTGGGTTACTGTGATGTTTTTATCAACTGTTTGGACTCTCATTCTGACGGCACCCATTCACTGCAGAGGATTCATTGGTGAGCAAGAGATGTAATGCTACATTTCTCCCAATCTGTTCCAATTAAAGAAATAAACTCATCTATATCTTGGATGGCCTGAGGGCGAGTAAATCTTCAGCACAGATTCATTTTTGGTTAACTATTTCTTAAAAGCTAGTAACAAATTGTTAGCAATATACTACATTTATGTGCAACTTAATACTTCTAACCCTTTGTATATTTATGTTTAAGTATTTCTTCTCTGCATCATTGGCTTGTTTCCTAATATAGCTGTCTAAAAAAATGTGCAATTCAATACTACAAATATTATTGGCACCGAACAATTTGTGAAAATGCTTTGGATTAAAATTGTTGGCTAAATGCATAAACGTAAATGTAGATTCTGACCAGCTCTACAGGAGGTGGATCCATGCTACTGAACATCTTGAACAAGACTGTGATGTCTGCTGGGTTCAGAGCCCCTTTGGACAGCATGGCACCAAGAGCCTGGCATGCGCGTGGATATGCAGCAGCTGTGCCCAGCGCTAATGTGATCTGACTGGCATCATGTCCTCTAAACATTGAAAACCAATCAATAACATGGTTATAATTAATAATCTGATC